TTTTTGTCTTTCAATATGAAATCTTGATACTGAATTAAAATAAATTATTGATTTATTATATACATATATACAAATGAATATACATTCATTTTATTAAATGTATTAATAATGTGTAATAAATAGATAATAGTTTGTAAAGTATCTGTTAAGTAGTTTGTGTTTACATAAAAGGTTTATATGATGCATTAATTCATACTGCTCTAATGGCAATTAATGCAAGACAGCTGAAATATAGTAAATCAACATGAAACCTGATATTTCACTTTGCTCCATATTTATTTAATATTTCAGCAATCAACTTTTCCAGTTTTTGTTTTTTAAATATTAATTTAAATCATTTAGTATTTTATGAACAATAAATCAGAATTGTATTTAAATATTTAATTGAAGTATTTATAGATATATATAATGAAATCATAATATATTGTATATTTATTTCAATATATTCGTATTTCTACTTTTTTTTTCAATGCATTGTTTGGATTATTTTGACCTTTTTATTACTTTCGTACTTGCCAAAGGAAATGTCTAATTCATATCTTATTTATTTTAAGCCCTAAAAATGCTCTTCTTGGACAAATCCCAGATACAGGACTGTACTTTGATGTGGATGAGTATGAAGAGGTAAGACATTTCTTTTAAAATACATTAAATCATCTTAACCTTTCCATTAATAGCCTAGATCCTTAACTTGCTTCATTCCAAAAGTGTTGTTCTCAAGCTTTTCTTAGTCACAGGCACCCAATTAGGCCTGATTTAATCCATCATCCTTTTTTTCCACCACAATCTCTGTCCTCTTATCAGTCGTTTGTTCTCTTTCTCAAGGCTGAGGAATGCTCTGGGATTAAGATTTTTCAGTCCAATACTTCCATATACTTTGCAAACAGTGACCTGTATGTGAGCACCCTCAAGGCAAAGGTGAGACCAAGTGCTTAAAGTTATTATTAACTTAAAATATTGTGTGTTTTATGGTTCTATCCTTGAGTATTTATTGAACATGCGCTGTGTAGAGAGATTTCTATAAGCAGCAGGCCTTTGGCTTTATAAAGTTCGGTACACTTTATTTTTGTGACTACAGACTGGAATTGACCCAGCACAACTGCTCACTGGCAGGAAATCACAGCTAAAATATGCAAAAAGAGACAACGGGGAGAGGAAGGCTGTAAACCACTGCTCCTCAGTGAAGAAAAATGCAGTTGTCTTATTGGTATGATGTTTTTTTTTCATCTAAATATATTTGATCTGTGACCTATGACCTTTACAAAAGTATTTGAACCTCAACATGGGTTCTCCATGTTGGGATTTTTGATGCATCAATACATTTATTTTTGCAAGCCAAATGTTATTTCAGAGCTATGCAAATTACACTGTACAATCTCAAAATTTCAGAACAAAACACTGTAGCTTTTCTTCTGTAAAATCTTTCCATGTAATGTGGCGGCTTAGTGATGAAAGATTTCTGAGTATGTGACTGACTGACATGTTCTGTGGTGCCACAACAGGATGTGGAGCTAGGCGTCACTCGTGAGGTGGTGGCTGGGCCGAAGAAGCAGATGGATCATGTGTATACCAATGGCCAGATGAATGAGAACAACACTGAGTCTGAATCTGAGGATGACTTCTTTCTCCAGCGTCTAACCCCCATTCACACCATCATACTGGACTTTACTCCGGTTAACTTTATTGACTCTGTAGGAGCCAAAACCATTAAATCAGTAAGTCAACAGCTTTTATTTCCAAAGAAGACACTTGAAGACCGTTTAGCGAGATCTGGCTTAATACATTAGACCACACGTTGCGCTGTTGCATATTGAGCAGCATGAGTTTAACGTTTTCTCATACTTTAGGGTTAGATGTTTGAACAATCCACTGACTCTTAAAGGGGTCATATGATGCGATTTCAAGTTTTCCTTTCTCTTTGGAGTGTTACAAGCTGATTGTGCATAGATAAGATCCCTGAAGTTGCAAAGACTAAAGTCTCAAAACCAAAGAGATATTCTTTATCAAAGTTAAGACTCTGCCACGCCCCCCTAAAACGGCTCGTTCTAACACGCCCCCACATATCTACCTCACTACGTGGAAATATTAGCATAATGCCGCCCAAATGTTCACGCAAAGAAAGAAGGCGTGGTTTCAGTAACCGCAGTTAGTGTTGAAGCAGCCATGTCAGGGAGACGCTGTGTTTCAGTGCGAAAGCAAAAGCACTTTATTTGGCCTTCCGAAAGTAGATGCATTTAGGAATCTTTAAGATTACTTACAACAGAACAGCAATGCATTTTATGGACGACCGTTTCGTGATCCTAGGAGCGGAGGTAATTCTGACTTTGCTATGACAATCTGGTGCTTCTGAATCAGCTACTGTTTTGTTATTAGTTTAAGTATTGGCGCATGGTGTGTGTGTGTGCGTGTGTGTGTGTGTGAGAGAGAGCGAGAGAGACAGCGTCACATCACAGTAGAGTCAGCTGTCTTAACCGCGGCTTGTGTACTGCATCATCTGTCTGTCACGCGACTCTGTTGCCCTTTCGGGCTTGAACTGATGGTAAAACTAATGACATTATTTAC